GCGTGGGAGCGAGACTGCAGTTGCCAGCTTCGTCGAGTGTCATCGACGCCCATTCACACACACACACACACACACACACACACACACACACACACACACACACACACACACACACACACACACACACACACACACACACACACACGAATCCACGGGGATGATAGTTGCAAAAGTACATCAAGTTTGCGCGGACGCTGAACCCGCAGGTGACACCCGAAGCGGCAAAGGTGATGGTGCGCGAATACCAGCGGTTGCGGCAGGGCGACAGCTCAGGTGTGAATCTCTTTCGTGTTTTGGGGGGTCTTTTGATGAGAGGGGAGGAATGAGGGCACATGCTTCACTCTTGCATGCGCCCTGTCCTCGCTGCTGCTGATGCTGTCGCCTCTGTTATTTGTGCAGTTCGTTTCCTCACACATGTCACCGATCACATTCACGACAATCACAACAATCACCGCCGCCACCACCATCATCGTCGTCGTGGTGATTGCAACACAACCAGGGCTGAACAAGTCGTCGACGCGGATCACAGTGCGCCAGCTCGAGAGCATGATTCGCCTCTCCGAAGGACTCGCCCGCCTCCACTGTGACGACCAGGTCTGCACTTCTCTTGATTTGTAGAAGAAAGGAGGGTTGTGCTGTGGGGGGGGGGGGTTCATGTTGGCTGCTGTGCATGCGCTGGGTCAAACTTCGCAGCACGCTTTGTGTCCCCTCATATGGTATCTGATGTGTGTGTGTGTGTGTGCAGGTGCGGCCGGACTATGTGCGGGAGGCGTGCCGCCTTCTTCGCAAATCGATCATCCACGTCGAGACTGACGACGTCCAGTGAGTCCCTGGCGATCGCTGCTGCTGATGATGGTGATGTTTCTGTGTCACCTCCCCATGCATGTGAATGCGTGTTTATGTCAAAGGGTTTCTTTGACACTTCGTTGTCTTCGTCGTCCTCACACATCTTCTCTCTCCATCGCCGCCGCCACCACCACCACCACCACCACCATCAGGCTTGGCTCTGAGGAGCAACAGGACCTTCAGACGCGAGAGCGCGCGCCGGACACGGAACCGTCCGAACCCGAAGCGCACACGGACTCGCAGGCCCAGCCCGAGGATGTACGTGGCAGCGGCGTTGGAGGGGGATGCTTGAGCGAGTGTACTCTGCGTGTGTGCGTGTGTGTGTGTGCGTGTGTGTGTGTGTGTGTGTGTGTGTGCGTGTGGTCCTGTGTGACTTCCATCCATTGCTGGCAAGACCCATTGACACGTGTGCGTGTGATGTATCGCATCATATGCGTACAGGGTGCACAGCCGGCGTCTGTGAGCTATGAGAAGTACCGTCAGGTCGCATTCCAGCTCGTCCACCACCTCCAGTCCCTCGAGGAGTCCGAAGGTGCGAAACATGGACCCGTGCGCCACCCCTCGCTATTGTTTTGTGTGTGTGTGTGTGTGTGTGTGTGTGTGTGTTGTGTGTGTGTGTGTGTGTGTGTGTGTGTGTGTGTGTGTGTGTGTGTGTGTAGTTTTGTGCGTACTTGTGCATTCCTTCTTGACATACCGTACGTCTCTATGCGCTCAACGTCAACCCCCCTCCCTACGCACACACGCACACACATCATGGTCGCGCTGTTCCCGCAGGCGATTCGTTCCAAGGCAAGACGGTTGCACAATTGATTTCGTGGTATCTGGCAGAGAACGAAGAGGAGCTCGCCGACGAGGCAGCGGTAAGACAATTGTGCGTGCGTGTGCATGTGTGTGTGCGTGTGTCTGTGTGTGTGTGTGTGTGTGTGCGTGAGTTTGTGTGTGTGTGTGTGTGCGTGTGTCTGTGTGTCTGTGTGTGTGTGTGTCAGTTTCTGACGTGGCTGGCACAAGTGCGTTGTTGTCAAGACCTTGACATCTACAAAACTGGTCAAAAGCATTGTTTCTCACGCTTTGGATCTTGCGAACGTGTGTTCGGTGTGTCTGTGTGTCTGTGTGTGTCTGTGTGTGTGTGCGTGTGCGTGTATTTTGTTGTCTTCACATCAGGTTCTGCGCGAGGCCGAGCTTGTTCGTCTGATCATTCGCCGTCTCGTCGCAACAGACGGCGCCCTCCTCGACGTCACCTCAGGTCTGTGCACCGCTCTCTGTGCTCTGTGTGTTGCGTGTGTGTGTGTGTGTGTGTGTGTGTGTGTGTGTGTGTGTGTGTGTGTGTGTTGTGTGTGTGTGTGCACGTGCTGTTGGCTGCGATGCTTGTTTTTCTTGCATGGACACACGACGGGTAGCTCATGCGATTTGCTGCTTTGGTTTGTGGTTTTGCTTGCAGGCACGGAGGAGGAGCGATTCGAGGTTCCTGAGGACGATCACGTGCTCATGCTCCACCCCAACTACGTCATCGAGTGAACATACACACACATACACACGCATACACACGCATACATACATTCATGACACATGTGCACGTGTAGTTCCTACAAGAATCACGCAGACGTGCACGCACATCCTCTTCATGCTTGCTTGCCCCTGTTCACACGCCGCTGTTTCGTTCTGGCCTGCACGTTCCTTCTTCATTGTTGTGCGCCCACCTTCTTCTTATCAAGACCTGGTGCTGATAGCAGTGTACTGTTCTTGCATGATGTGCTGTTATTGTGTCTCTTCCATCTCTTCTCTCTCTCTCTCTACCTTCCCATCACCACTCATCCTAGGACGCCCATATGTTTTGTTTGCTTTGTTTGCTTGCGTGTTACGTTGTTCATTGTTTGAGTACATCTTGTTCCCGCGTTTTGTTGACATGGCACGCGAATAACAGCAGTGATGAATGAATGCACAGAACGTGTAACCAAGAGAACCAAGGGAGAGAAGGAGAAAGGGGGAGGCAGAGAGAAAGAGAGATCGTGCAAATCAGAAAGCGGACACACGTGTCCTTCCACCGCAACACCACAACACCACGCACGACAACGAAGCAATCGCTGGTGGAATGTGTGTGTGTGTGTGAGAGAGAGAGAGAGGCTTCACTACTGCTTGCCAAGCTGTTCCCTGAGCTCCTTGATCTGGTGGTTCTTCGTGTCGAGCATCTTGCGCATGTTCACAAACTGCGGCGCCGCGTGCACTTTCGCCTCCAGCGCCGCCTCCACCTCACGCAACTTGGCAGACAGCGACAGAATCTCCGCCTGCAGTGCAAGGTTTTGTGTGTGTGTGTGTGTGTGTGTGTGTGTGTGTGTGTGTGTGTGTGTGTGTGTGTGTGTGTGTGTGAGTGAGTGAGTGAGAGTACATGCAGTCGTAACAACCAACAAAAGCGACAGCAGGACAGCCGCAGCACGAGCCAATGCGAGTGTGCAAGCAAAGTATTACAGCGCAACCCAAACGTCGCACCTTTGCAGATTTGAGCTCGGTCTCCACTTTGTCTTTTGCCTTCTCAAGCTGTTGGTACAGCAGCAATGCATGTCGTGCAGCGTGAGGTGGCGGTGAAACAAGGACTGATCCTCCAACGCACACAACAGACACAAGTCACACACATACACGCACACGCACACACACACACACGCACACGCACACGCACACACACACATGCACATGCACACGGTGCACGTACCTCTTGCACCTGTTGCTTGGCTTTGTCGCCATTGCCACTTGGCTGCGCTGACGTTGGCGGTGGCTTTGGCACAGGTGTTGACGTTGTTGCTGTTGCTGTTGCTGCTTTTGCTTCCAACTCCGCAATCCTCTGCTTCAACGCCTCGTTTTCCTTTGCAACCTCAACAGCCTGACCAACGCGTTGAGGTGTGCGTGTGTGTGCGTTTGTGCGTGTGTGTGCGTTTGTGCGTGTGTGTGTGTGTGTAAGTGTGTGTGTGTGTGTGCGTTTGTGCGTATGTGTGCGTGTGTGTGCTTATGAGGCAAGCTGCCAGCACCGCTGGGGAAAAGTGACTCTTCTCACCCTTCCACACACACATACACACACACAAACATCCCCTCTCACGTTCATCCTCTTCTCTCACCCTCTGGTCCGCCCGCTGCTGCGCATCGCGCGCCGTCTGCACTTCAGACCTGAGCGCGTCCATCTCCTGTGTGTGTGTGTGTGTGTGTGTGTGTGTTGTGTGTGTGTGTGTGTGTGTGTTAGCTGATTTTGGATTTGCGTGTGGGGAAGGGTGGAGATGCATGCACGAGCGTGTGTGTGGCGGCGGTGACGCACGTGTTTAATGAGCGCTGGGGACGCAGACTCCTTGAGCGGCTCCAACTTCGGGGCGCCGAGCGACTGGACGGTCGGGGGAACGCGCGAGCAGTGACATCATACGTGAGAAAACAAAACAGAGTACAGGGTATGCGCGACACACACCACGCACACACACACACACACACTGATACACCACGCGCGCACACACACACACACACACACACCGAGCTTGCTGATTCCTGGCGCTCAAAGCGGGCAATGTCGTCCAGCGCATGTCTATCAGTGCGCGCAGCACAAGGCGAGCAAGGGGTAAGCTGAACCGGAGGTGCAAACGGGGGGGGGGGTTGTAGAGGCGTCGTCGTTGCACTGTCTGCCTGCTCAACTTTCTCAAGTCCATGAAATCCAACACGGTGCGATTGAAGGCTCTGTACTTTCACCTGTCCTCGAGCGTGCCCGTCTCCAGCTTGAATGTCAGCTTCCACTCCTCGCCTTGCTCCATCATCTGCACCACGCAGGCAGTGATGAGCAACCACCAGCACCAACAGCGATCATGCCCAGATCAAGAACCAGACACACATGCCGACTCAAGTGCACAGCACACACACACACGCACGCACGCACACACGCACGCAACCGCGGCAAGTGCCGGTGACATGAGCAGACTAATAGGGTTGTGAAAGCACCTTTCGCAGGACAAGGACGTTTGTGTGAGAGCTGTTGATGAGTTCTGTCTCCACATCTCCCTTTACGACGTCGCATAGCCCATCCACCATGTCTTCTACTTCCTCCCTCGTGAACGTGGAATCTTGCAGCCTGCACCAGACGAATGTGAGAAGGGTGTGCATGTTGGTGCAGTGGTGCAGTGGTGCAGTGCTGCGTCGGGCCTTTCCAGAGGCACATATGCACATGTATACACAGATGAACAGGTACATCCACACTCACAGGCACATCCACACATCCACACATCCACACATCCACACATGTCTACAGAACCACACATCGATACACACATACGCACTCATGACGCACCTGCTTTCTTTGAGATCGGTGAAGGTGGCTTCAATGTCGCGAACGTGCTGTGTGCGCTTGTACCGCATAAACGCAAGGTAGTCCTTGCACACATGCTTGTGTGTCTCATTCAACTTGTCCTATACACACACACACACACGTGAGGTTGCAACCAAACCAAGCGACAAGCAAGAGGTGGTCGCGTGAGAGAGCAAACCAAGCGCACCGACGAGGGTAACACTCAACAAGCAACAACAGAACACAAACACAGCGACTGCAACAAGCAAGCGCGCTCACCATCTTCGTTGCTGTTGCTGTTGCTCCTTCTTGTTTTCTTCTTCTTCTTCTTCTTCTTGCTTGCTTGTGAAAAAACGGTCGCAAAAACCATTCACGCACAAACACACGCACGCACACGCAGGCAGGCAGTGACACCCGCCAATATGGATCTGCTGTTGAGCAAGTCGAAGGAGCTTGCACGACGCACGCGCGATGGCGTGCAGCGACGCGTGGATGTGAACGACCCCGTGCGCCTGCTGGCTGTTGCCCAGGCGCACGCTCGCCCCGCCCACCACCAAGACAAAACCATGCACACCCTCAACGCGTACGAGAAGCACCACAAAAGAGAGAAAGAGGGAGACATACGAAGAGGGTGTGTGTGTGTGCCTGCGCGCGTGCGTGCATTGTGTAGTGAGTGTAGTGAGTGGATATGCTTCAGTGCTCTGTGTGGTGTGTGTGTGTGTGTGCCTGACAACATCTCTCTCAGGACGTTGTCCTCGAAGCCTTGCTTTGCTTTGACACATGTCTGCGCACGTTCTTGGTCTCACACTTTTGTCTGCGCACACACGGCAGGCAACGGTTGCTTGGGGACCAAATGGATGTGGACAACTACCTCCACCTGAAGAACGTCAAGCTCATGACAGCTGCCGAGCCTTTCATCTCCTCTCAACCAGCCTCTGTCGAGGTGAGCTCGTCCTTGTTCTGCAGTACACGCCGCGGTGTTGCCACTGTTTTGTGTACGCATGTTGTATCCACAGAAGTGCCATCGCTGACACTAGCAACAATACACTGTGCATGACCGTGTGTGCGTGTGTGTGTGTGTGTGTGTGTGTGTGTGTGTGTGTGTACTTCAGGAGTTTCTCAAGGCTGAGCGCCAGAATGCCCTCATCTCCGCAGTTACCAGTGCACAGGAAGCGGTGTGTGCTTGTGTCTCAGATAATCCGGGCTTCGTTCACGATGCATGTGGACACAGTGGTTTTGTTGCCGTGTGCATGTACGTTCGTTTGCGTACGTGTGCGCTCATTTCGACCCTGGTGTGCGTCGCTGTGTGCAGGCTGTTCGTGACTTTCACCAGCAACACTTTGACCATCTCCAACACGAGTGGGAGCACACGGAGAAGGCCGAGATCCGCAAAATCCTCGGTGTCGAACTGGTCCGTCAGTCAACCTGCGCGTGTCTATGTGTTTGAGTGTGCCTGTGTCTGTGTGTCTATGTTTCTGTGTCTGTGCGTGTATCTGTGTGCAAGCCTAAACCTATACTTACCTCTGCTTCAACATGAAATGCGCCACACTCACCACAACACACAATGTTTCCTGTGATTCCTGCTGCTACTGGTGTACCTGTTCGTCCGTTACCTGGTTGCAGGACGTCACTTCAAGCTCCCTCGCCCAGAAGGTGGCCGCTTAATCAACACCATCAGCCACCTTGCCCAGCACCACACTTCATGTGTCTCCAACAACCCCTGCTCCTCACTCACCCAACGACACGTGCACATATGCATACAAACAACACAAACAAACACGCGTGCACACATGCAAACACACACTCACACACCCTCACACGTACGCGTGTGTGTGTGTCCACAGGATCAGTCCAATGTGTTCCAGGACGTCATTGAAGACTTTGTCGGTCACATCATCGACAACGTGAGTCGACACGCCCGTGCGAGATGAGAGAAGAGCGAATGTGACGTGCTGATGAATGATGTGTTTGCACAATGGATATGTGGCTGACGTTGCACGCGGTGTTTGAGTGCCGCGTTCCCTTTGCCAACCACATACACACCACACACACGCACACGCACACACAATACAACGCGAACATGTAACGTACGCACGCTCTTACGATTGCCCGATGCGTTGTGCTTTGCCTGTGCAACACAAGACTGCACCGTATCCGATTGTGGAGCGACTGAAGGAGGCCGCCACGACCCTCTACTCCCAGGTCCGCGCTCTCCTTCTGCATGCCATGCATATGTGACTGTGTGCGTGTGTGTCTGTTTGTTTGTATGTATGTCTGTTTGTTTGTTTGTATGTATGTATGTATGTATGTATGTATGTATGTATGTATGTATGTATGTATGTATGTATGTATGTATGTGTGTCTGTCTGTCTGTCTGTCTGTCTGTCTGTCTGTCTGTGCCTGTGTCTGTGTCTGTCTGTATATGTCTGTGTGTGTGTGAGCACATCCCCCTTCTTTGCCCCCTCCCACGCACAAACACACACACACATACTAATGCACAACTACACAAACGAACCGTGCCTGGTCTGGCTGGTTCACCTGCTGCTTCCCGCGTGCGCAGGACCAGCGGGCGTTTGTGGACTGCCTTGAGATTGTGCAGTCGATGCTCCGTCCGCCCGAGGGCCCGCTCCACGCCGCACACTACGCCAAGGTGCGCCCACTGCTGATGCTGCTGCTGCAGTGCCTGCGCGTGCGTTGGCGTGCGGGACGTTTGCTATTGTGCCACCACCACAACCGCCGCCACCACCACCACGATTGTTTCACTCACCCACCGCCACCACCACCACCCATCATCATCACCACCATCACCACCGCCGCCATCCGTGACCAGCTGCGTACGACACGTGACGGGCGGCAGCAGTATGTGCAGCAGATGCGGCGCAGCGCCATCACGAAACTGCAGGAGCGATACCGGGCCAAGCTCGCCGGCGCCGACCTGGAGTCGTTTGCGCGGGCCAAGCGCACACAGCACCTGCTGCACGACATGACGCGCGACGACGAGCAGTGGGCGGTGCTGTTCTATGCGCTGCGCATGGGCCTGAGGGAGGAGGCACTGCACACCAACCTCTGCCAGCAGGACGCAGACCTCCACGAGGCCGTCGCAAGCGCTTTCGCCTTCCAACAGTGCGTCGTGTAGGAGGAGAGGGGGTTGGCAGGGAGCAGTGATGGTGTGGTGATAAGTGTGAGAGACAGAGACAGAGAGGGAGACTGGGGATTGCGTGCGTGCACGCTTTCGTGTTTGGCAATTTGTTGCCTTCGTGGTTTGGATTTGTGTACCACCCTCACACCACCACCATACCCATTACCACACGCTATCAGGCCGTCGTTCCTGCGCACCGCTGACGGGCGCTCGCTCGTACGTATCTCCACCACGCGCCGGTGTTCGGTCGCCGTGATGTTCCGCCCGATCTCTTTCATTTTCTTTTTCGCGCGCACACAAACACACAAACAAACAAACTCTGTCTCACTTTCTCGCACACATACACACACGCACACACGCACACATACACACACACATACACACATGTCTACCATCACCACCACCAGTATGAGCGGGGTGTGCTTGCGCTCCTGAGCGGCTCTCCCGACAATTTTCCGCGTGAACTTCAGCAGGAAAACCTCGAGGACTACCTCTGGTTCAAGGTGGGGATGCAATCTTTGGGGAGGGATGTCGTGCCGTGCTGTGCGTGGATTTGTGTGTGCGTGTGCGTGTGCGTGGGTGTGGGTGTGGGTGTGGATGTGGGTGTGTGGGGGGGGGGGGTGTGGGTGGGTGTGGGTGTGCGTGTGCGTGTGTGCGTGTGCGTGTGCGTGTGTTTGGTGTTGATGATCGCCACCAATCCTCAAGCCCCATCGGTTGTTGACGGCTCACACGCGCGTGCATGGTCACGACAGCTGCGGTCGCTGCCGGAAAACGACGTGGCGCAGTACACGGAGTTCCAGAAGCTCATCAGCAAGTCATACGGTGCGTTGAGTTCCACACGCACGCACGCACGCACACACACACACACACACACACACACACACACACACACACACACACACACACACACACACACACAGGCCGCTGTTTTTCGCAATGTTGTCCCACACTTGTGTGCAACATCTACACAAACACCCCCACACGTGTGCACTCACTCACACTCACTTGCGCCCCCACGAATGTGTTCTCACACGCTACGCTATGCTCACTCACACATACCTATGCACCTTAACGAACGTGCACACACTTGCGCCCACGGTGGCTGGGCACAGGCGAGTCGCACTTCCAGGCGGCACGCAACCCGTGGAACTACCTGTTTGCGCTTCTGTTCACGGCGCAGTTTGAGCGGGCGGTTGAGTTTCTGCAGCGGGTTGACCTTGAGCTCGCTGTGCATCTCGCCATTCCCCTGCACCACTACGGCGCCCTGGACGCAACAGAGGACATCTCAGAGAACACACGTGAGCTGCACTGTGCTGATGAGGTGGTGGTGGCGGTGGTCATGGTGCTGTTTATGTTGTGTGGTGTTTGTGTGTGTGTGTGTGTGTGTGTGTGCGTGTTGGTTATGTTGTGTGTTGTTTGCATTGTGTGTGTATATGCGCACATGCAAGTATTAACCTTTCTTTGATCAGTCCCTCACACACACACACACACATGTCCTCTCTCACATACAAACGGCCGCAATGACGACAATGTTGCGGGTTTATGCGAGCAGTGGTTGAGCAGCCTGGAGAGGTTGCGTGCCTGTACAACTTTGGCCTGCTGGTGCAGCGGTATGCGCGTCTGATCATGCGTCAGTCCCCAGCCACCGCCCTCAACTACCTCTACCTCGTCAGGTATGTCAACCTGTCTTGAAGACAATGGTGGTCCTGATGATGATGATGACATGTGAAGGAGCGTGCTTCATAGGTGGCGCGCATGCAAACACACGAAATACACAACTTGCAAGCAAATGCGCGCGCTCACGGTCGCTTTTTCACCCACCACCACGGCTCATTGCTGATCATCACCATCAACTCCATCAACTCCATCGCTGTCGCTGTCGCTGCCAACAACCAGGTCGATGAAGCTTTCGTCGGCTGCGGACTCACCGTCCGTGTTTGTCGTAAACTTTGCTGACGTCATCCTGGAAAACAACGACGTGCGTGGTCGTGCATACGGTGCTGTGATGGGGAGGTGACGGACTGCACATGCATGTCAAGAGACACAGGCTCAGTGGTGAGGATGTTGGGGGTGGGAGTGATAGTGGTGATTGTGATGTGCGTTACATGCCAGCCAGCTCACGGTGTGCCCTTTGAATGGTGATGGTGCCAACAGCTTGCCTTGCTCGGTGGCTACGACACGTCCATGCGCCAGGTACTATACCTGCCTTCGAATCAAACACACCCCTCCCCGGCGCGTATCGTGTCTTCCTGTGTTCTTGGCCGGAGGTTTGCGGCTGCTCACGCTGCTCCGAAACACTCCTACGCCTTCCCCTGCCGCTTTCCCGTTTAGGTGCTTGGTGGCGATCTTGTCCGGTTTATGCCGGACATCAGCGCCCGTCACCGTTTCCTGCGCGATCTTGCGATTGAATTCCGCTCCCGGGGCAAATTCCCAGAGGCCATCAGGCTCTTCCAGGAGGCACAGGTGAGGGCAGTGGCGGTGATTTTGGTGTTCTTGTTCTTGTTCTTGTTCTTGTCCTTGTTCTTGTTCTTGTTCTTGTCCTTGTCCTTGTCCTTGTTCTTGTCCTTGTCCTTGTTCTTGTTCTTGTCCTTGTCCTTGTTCTTGTTCTTGTCCTTGTCCTTGTCCTTGTTTGGTGCTGACGCTGCTGTTGCTGGTGCTTGTGCTCGCAACAGGAGGATGACGAGGCCACAAACCTGCTCATCGAGAAGCTGACGGAGGTAAACTGATCCGGCAAGGACTCACACACATACACATACATACACATACACACCCACATACATACACATACACCAGCATACACAAGCACACTAAATCACACACATACACATGCACACATACGCACGTACACGCACACACTAATCGCCCCTTGCCCCTCCCGCCTCCCTGCTGGGTGGCCAACTTGCAGGTGATTATCCTTGACGACCACGACGACATTGCGTGGAGCCAGTACTTGGAGCGCAGCCGCTTCGTCCCTGCAGACGCCCCGCGCCGCGCAGACATCGACGTCCTCGAAAACGTGCGTGCAGCCACTGTCAACCCTGGTCGTGGTTCTCATAGTCGTGGTCGTGGTGGCTGTGATCGTGATCGTGACGGTGGTCATGGTGGTCGTCGTGAACGGGCGCTTGACGCCTGGGGCTTGGAGGAGTCAGGGCATGCGCTGAGGGCAGTCGTTGGCCGTGGTATTGACATGCTCGTTGCTGTGTTTTCGCTTTATCATCGCCGCTGCGGGACTGCATCTGGACGGCGACAGGTTGTGCAATTCATCTACGCGTGCCACCGCGAGACAACAACAGACCCGCTCTTCTTCTGGCAGGTGCGGACTGGTCTTTGTGTGTGTGTGTGTGTGTGTGTGCGTGTGTGTGTGTGTGTGTGTGTGTGTGTGTGTGTGTGCCTTCTGATTCACCTTGTACGTGATGCTGGTCATCGCAGCGGCTTACGTGCTGCATATCCTTTCAATTCACCCAATGGTATCTCCTTGTACGTGTATGTGTGTGCGTGGGCAGGAGCTGAACCGCATGCAAGTGTTCCCGCTGCACCCGGACGAGGTCGACACGTGCATGCGCAAGATCCAGTCCCTCGGCAAAGAGGTTCGACCTGCCGTGCTTGTTCAAGCTCCCCGTGCTGTGCTTGCCTGCTTGCATACATCTCTATGTGCGTGAGTGTGGTCTCTGCTTGCGTTCTTGCTGATGACGACGTTGTTGCCACACGCGCAGGTGTCGGCCGTGTTCCCGTCGCTCATCTTCTACGCCATGCGCCTCACGGAGCACAAGCTCAGGGCGGTACGTTTGCACATGACACATACACGCACACACGTGTGCGCAGAAGCATGCATGCAAGCAGGTTGAGGCTGTGCCGTGATGTTCGTGCATCGTCTTGCACGCCTACTTATGCTCACCCATAATCATCATCAATTGCGAATGCTCATGGATTTACCCACTGCCACATCCCCCACACCACCACTCGCTTCCGCTGTATCCATCATTTTCACCGCGGTAACTGCTCATTGCACGAAACGACAGCACCAGCAGCGCGTCTCTGGCCACTTTGACGTGCCAGAGGAAGCGAAGAACTGGCAGCAGCGCGGGCGTGCCCTACTGACGTTTGCGGTGGAGATGGGTCACACCTTTGGCGCAGAGAAGGCGCAGGTGCTTGAGCGGCTGCAGCTGCTGGTCGAGTCTGTCGAGACGAGCATGCGCGTGTTTGCCGGCC